ATCGCTCCTCCCCCTGCTGTCCCCTCTCCTCCTCATTGATCGCTCCTCCCCCTGCTGTCCCCTCTCCTCCTCCTATCTCGCTCCTCCCCCTCCATCCTGCCCCTCTCTACCACTGTCCCCTGCTGCCCCCCCAACATCCACTAATTACTCCCCCACTCTCTGTCCCAAAATTACTACACAAAAACATCGGACTGGGCAGATACCAGAAGCGCAGTCTTTAGAAGCACAGGGTTATAGTGCCAGTTGGAGCAGTCTTGTCATTCCTCAGGGAAATTTCCAGTCTATGTATCAGTACCTGTCTCTCTATCCATCTTTTTTGAGGAATAGACAGAGCGAGACATTAGCCTGTTTATCTTTCTGTGAGAAAGTCTGTAGGTACAGACCTGTCACGGGAGAATTGCAATGAGATGTGATGTGTATGAGACGGCTGTGATGTGTATGAGACGGCTGTGATGTGTATGAGACGGCTGTGATGTGTATGAGACGGCTGTGATGTGTATGAGACTGCTGTGATGTGTATGAGACGGCTGTGATGTGTATGAGGCTTCAGACTCCGGTTAATCCCTGCTTTCATTACAGACTGGCATGTCATGCTGGTGGTGGCATCGGCACTTGCTCAGGGTGTTCGCTGCTTGGTTTTCTCCATAGCTTCCTGTCCCGAAAGCCTAACCTCTTTGGCATCTCTGTCCACTCCCCGCTCTTCCAGAAGGCGACCGTGACTGCTGGCCCTTCGGCGGCCACCGTGACCGTGACGACTCCGCAGCAGCCCACCACCGTCATTGCAGGAGGGCAGACCGTTGCGCAGGCCCAGCCGCAGCCTGCCGTGCAGCCGGCACCACCTGCGCAGACTGGCTCCCTGGCTGTCCCTGTAAGCTCAGCCGCGGGGGCTCTGGTGGTGTCCCAGGTCTATGGGCCCTGTGCTGTTCTCTCTCTCTCTCTCTCTCTCTCTATGTCTCTCTCTCTCTATGTCTCTCTCTCTCTCTCTCTCTCTCTCTCTATGTCTCTCTCTCTCTCTATGTCTCTCTCTTTCTCTTTCTCTCTCTGTCTGTCTCTCGGTCTCTCTCACACAAACCCACAGAAGATCCACCATCTTTCACCTCATTGATTCAAGTCACACTGCTACTCTTGACACCTCCGAAAGTACCCATGTGACACGATGTTGATACATCGTCGTGGCAACCTGTGGCAGGCACTGGCATCCCCAATGCTGTTGTAACAGTGGCCAGTGCCAGACCTTCTGCTGAAATCTAGTTGACTGTAAACATGCCCCCTGGACTCTAGGAGATGCAGGAAAATGTGAAGAAGTGCAAGAACTTCCTGGCCACACTGATCAAGCTGGCATCCCACAACTCGCCGTCTCCGGAAACCTCCCGGAATGTCAAAGCGCTGGTCCAGGATCTTCTGGTGAGTCCAGATCCTGAGTCACATCATCCCTCATTAGTAGAGATTAAATTGCCACCCATTATTGTGCACGTGTCATCTGTGTTGAACACTGGGGGGGTGGACAAAATAATAGTGATAGAGATGTCTAGGACTTAAGGAGTAGGCCCCCCCTTTGGATTCAGAGCAGTTTAATTCCTTCTAATGCTGCTATACAAAAATGTCCTGAACTGTATTTAGTAGGGTACAGGACCAATCCTGCGGAAGAAACCCCCCCCCCCCCATTTCTATAGAGGTGGTGAAACCGCTTCACAGACCGAGCTTCAGAACTTCATGCAGCACCAGGGATGTTTAGGTCTGGTAATTGGAGAGGCAATGGGGCGCATTTGACGTCATCCTAGTGGTCATGTAATCGCTCTTGGATTTGTTTAGCAGTGTGTATGGCATTATGTTTTAAGACCATCATGAGGAAGCAGCCTTTGTGGCTTGGGGTGCACTTGGTCCTGTAAAATGACCACATATTCCTTGACTGTTACACAAACAGAGAAACCAACTGACCTATTGACTCCCACAAGATGGCTGATCGTGCCAACAGGCCTCGTTTGAATCCTTTTGCTTTCCTGAAACGTAACCCTGTTTGTATATAAGAAAATAAAAGATGCCGACTTATTGGACTTTAATACTGTCTTGGCTGCTCTGGGGTCCTATATTTTGCCCTTAAACCATGACATGCATCTCTGTGTGTCAGCCTGGGAGCCCTGCCTTAAATCCCGGCTTTGATACTCACCATGAGCAGCTTTTGACACTAGGTCTGTGGTAATTTTTGAGGTCATACTTTTGTGGTGTTCGGCATCTGCTGTAAGCGTTTGTCTTTCCCTGTTGGTGAACTTGTGGCTACTGTCCTTTACTGATTCCATTTGTCTGGTTTACTCATATTTCCTCATGGCTCGAGTGGTTTGGTCTGTTCCTGTGATCAGAAGGTCTCCGGTTCGAGCCCCGGCATTGCAGAATAGACGCATTCCTGTTGGGAAAATTCCCTTGAGCATGCTGTAACATTACAGTGTACCTGTACTCATACTGGTGCTAATGGTAAATAAAGGATATTATTGATATCAGTATGGCATCTTTTGTGGCGTAATGTGCCTGGTAACCAGTAGATGGCAGTAAGTGGCTGTCACTTCTTTCACTAAAATGCTACAATGGTAATTTTCTGCACAGGATCTTAGTTCCCAACATGCATTAACGACACCAAATGATGTACTTTTTTATCTTTCTAACGTCTTGCAGGACGCCAAGATTGAACCTGAGGAGTTCACTAGCCGACTGCAGTCTGAACTGAAGTCGTCCCCCCAGCCCTACCTGGTGCCCTTCCTCAAGGTGTGTGCCCCCCACCCCTCTCCCCACCTGCAGGTGGTCCACTGCCATCCCAACGTTGGCTTGTTTCCGTGGAAACAGCCAATGCAGAGCCAGTCCCTTACCTCCCTTACCTAAATCTCAGTGTTTAATGACTCCGTTTAGCCAGAGAAACACAGCATCGTTATAGAACATAATTTCCTTTGTTTTCTTCATGATTTAAAAAAAAGTTTATTAGGGCTACGGCCATCAAATATTTTGATATAATTTTTTCTGTGCATTATTCTTTTTATAATTATTAAACACTCAATCATGTATTTCAGGGATCATCAACCTTTCCGCACACGGACAAACACACTTGGCCGTGTCTGTGGCGAAATTCCGTTTTTAAATAGCCATATCTGTCGTAAACAATTGCATTTTGATCAAAACTTCTATCAGAATTCACCAGGGTGGTGATGACTCAGTGTTTCCCAATCTGGTCCTCGGGTACCTGCCAACAGTCCATGTTTTTGCTCCCACAACTGGAAGCAAAAATGTGAGCTGTCTGGCAGGAATCTGGGAGGGAGAAAAAACAAGCACCTTCTGTGGGCTCGGGGTTGGGAAATACTGGTTGCTGTGGGATTATTCTGTTTTAAGATGCTCTTTCCTGCATGGCCTTCCGTTGTGCCATCATGTGTATTTCACATGACCTTCCTGTACATGTGTGAAGATGTGGCAGCTCTCCAGCTGTTTTGGCTACCAGCAGCCAGCTTGAGTTTTCTCGTCTCTCCCGGCCATTTTCTCCTCTTTTTTTAATTGCCGCTCCCCTAAGTGTCGCTTTTGCAATAAGAATACGGACCGAAATGGAAAGTTCTGTAGTTCTCTCTCATTTGTAGAAGTGTCCGAATAACCCCTACGGATGATTCAAACGCGTATTTATCTTTTTTCCCAGAATTATCAACTTTTTTTTTTTTTATAGCCCTCTAAATTGTTTAAAAAATCTGATTAAATATGCAGCTGCGTTTGCTTGCAGGATGTCTTGACAAAGAGGCCGCAGGTTATATAAAAGGCTAATTCCTCTCCTTTGTCTCAAACTCATCCCCCCCCCCCCCCCCCCAATAGAAAAGCCTCCCGGCCCTGAGGCTCTCGCTCCTTAACAGCCAGCAGTCGCTGACGCAGCCCCCGCAGGTGAAGCCCGGTGTGGGGGGGGTGCCCGTCCCTGCCC